ATTTATATTCATAGAATGAGCGTATCTTATAGATTTAATTATATCATTACAATTATTCATATCGCTTGCTCCCGTTCTATATACACATTCGCATAATAATTTTTCTAAACCTAATTCAACTATACACCAAACTTGCTCTACATTTGGGTTATTTAAACAATGGAACCTCATAGACTTTGATTTTATCTTTACATACAAACTCCGCCACCTCTACCAATGTTTCTATCCATTCTAAATAGAGTGTATCCTTCTATATTTGCAACTGAAGAATTCGTCCACCATGTCTCGCTTATCATTACAATATCAGCTTTGCTTGAATTTATTTCCTCAATTAAATCATCTAATTTATTGTTCAACGATGTTGCATTTGTGTTTAAGCACGTTATCTCACTAAGTTTATCACTCGAATTCGACAGTGTATTAACACCCTTTTCATTTCGGAAATGAGTTTTTGTATTATTGTTATTATTATTATTGTTACTGATGTTGTACTTATTAATTTTTACATTTCTTTTAATAATATTTTTTGAATTTTGATTAGTCATTTTTATTAATTTTAATTTTGATAATTTTCTCATCTTTGATGATAAATCGAAAGGGCTGATTTTCGGTTTGATTTTAATCATTGATTACAAATTGTTGATTACAATCAAAAACAATAATTATTGTTTAATTTCTTTCTTTCCGCGATTAATAATTTTTTGCTTTCTCGTTGCGCTATGGTGAGATCAGGGTTAATATAAATTTTATTCCTATATTCTTCGATTTTACTCAATTTGCTGGCTTCCTTAATTACTTCTTGAGCAGAATTTTTATTGTACATTTCAACAATTATTATTCCTGGCTTTTCATTTTTTGAATAAAAACGATGATGACACGTAATTTTCTCATTATCAAGTTTAAGTGCTGTAAATATTCCATTAATTGCATTTTTATCGTCGTCAATTTTTTTGTTTACATTTGTTTCTTTCGATTCATTAATACCAAAAAATAACAAGTTTTTTTTCTCTTTTTGCTCTTTCCAATGTTTCAACAGAGACAGCATTTAGAAATATAGCCTTGCTCATTTATCTTTGGTTTATTATCAGTAAATAGACTGCTAAACAAAACTTTTGAACATTGATTATTTATTTTTCCATTTTCTAGTTCAGATATACGCTTCTCTAAGAGCTCATTTCGCTTCAGTAAGTCGTTTACTAAAGCGTCAAGAGCTTTGAATTTCTTTTCTTGAATTTCTTTATAAATGTTGAAATCTCGAATTTGTACATTTACCATTATTAATTTACTTTTAAAACTTTTTTTAAAACGATTCTGAATAACAAGCAAAAACACGTCCTCTCGCTTATATATATATATAATACAAAAGTTTAAAAAATATTTGTTATCATTTTTTTGAGGAAAAAATGTATAAAATAAAACATAACAGTGGCGAGCATTTACCAAATGCTCTTCACAATGCGCTTCACGCACAATTAATCTAATAAATTGTAAACAAAACAAGCCAGATATAAAACAGCTAAACAAAAAACATAATAACATTAATTGTAACAAAGATAGCTCTAGGTCGGATCACACATCTTAAGTAAAGCGACTCAAGTATTCTCTATATATGACTTCATCAAGCCTGGACCATTTTAAATCACCCTGCGATACACATACAAATTTTATCCTACGCTTGATTCTGCTCCAAAACGATTCAACATGGTTTGTTGTCGCATGTGTCAAAGGATCTACAAAATTTGTGGTATGATTCACAGTAAGATAGTTATAACCTAAACTATATAACGTATTGTAAGACGCCCATTGATTAGAGTGAATTGTTGACCCATGTTACAATTAACGGCACTAAAGTCTTAGCAGTTCGATCAGGGACACGTCTTAAATAACATTTTTTTGATGTTAAGTCATATGCGCCAAAAATCTAATGTTTTTCCACAACGTGCCCAACATTATTTTTTCTTTTGAACTTTAACGACTCGTCAATCTTAACTATATGACCAGGTTCACCTAACTGAACTGTATTGGGAAGATCAATAGTTTTAAACGTACAGACGTTTCTAAAATATTGATACCACTGAACAGAAGTTTTGGCATACACACCGACTATAACACTAGCAGTTGTTACAGGGACCTCTGCAATCCATAAAAATATAAGTTGGAGAATAACGGCTACAGTCAATGATGTAGAATTTTCAAAAAATCCACTTCGTATAGTTTTTGTTTTTTTACATTTACAACATCTCCATATATATTTATCCTAAAATAAAAAGTTAACGCAAACGAATAACAAATAACGCTTTAAGTTTAAAAGACCTGAATAAAACTTAAAATATTTACTTTACAACGGTTAAACTATTGAATATTAATATTGTGTTCACATTCACATGCTTTATCAGAATCCATTAATTGGTTATTTTGTAAAAATCTGATTAAATTTTCTTCGTTATAAAATGCGTTATAAAATGCGTTATAAAATGCTCTAAGGGCGACATTTCCAAAGAAAATCAGTTAAAATTGCGCCAAATTTGGTAGAATTTTGCGCTTAATTGCCCCAATCATTTCCCGCTCTGTTAAGTAATCAAATTTAATAAAAGTTGAATTCGTAAATTGTCCTACTTACAGTATTTAAGGGGGAGGGGGTGCATCGCGTACAAGTCCTTGTACGCGACGCTTTTAGTTGCTTTTAGTTAAACATACAGCGTAAACTTGTTGCTGCCATTTTTATTGTTGATAACGAAAATAAGTAGCGCGAAAAAAAAAGTGGAAATCAAAATGACGTTTCTTTATGAAAAAATTCGCTTCGTAATTTCGTCTTGTGGAAAACGACTTTAAGTCGTTTAATAAACGTAAAGTTTTTTTTGTCTATGTAAAAAAAAAAAAAAAAAAAAAAAAAAAAAAAAAAAAAAAAAAAAAAAAAAATTGATAAAATTAGAATTGTCAACTTTTTACAAAAAGTATGTCTGCAGTTTAAGATAATTGTATAAAATGATGGTAATCTGTGCTCTAAAAGCATGAGAGATATACTACCATATTTGTTGTAACTAAAAAACATTTTAGCACAATTGCTGTAGCAATACTGAATTCGTGCCATTGTTTTATCTTTATAATTTTGCCACAGAGGAGCACCATATAAGCAAATGCAATATGATTTAAATAATTTAATTTTTAGTTTGTTAGAGCATAAATTTAAGCGTCTAATTAGAATATTTGTGCGTGCGGAAAGACCCTTCACCTACTTGATTATATCAAGATCATTGGTTCGGTCATTTTTAATTATATGACCAAGGTATTTAAAAGATTCAACAAAAGCAATTTTACAGCCAGTTATGCATAATTTTGGGAAGGAGTTTAATATAATTTTTGATTTTTGAGTTGGATTAAAAACCATACATACAGTTTTCTTAGTATAAAAGGACATGT